TGAAGGAGCCGAAGGGATTTGCAACCCCATAGGAAGAACAGTAATATCAACCAACCGGACATCCTCCCCCCAGAGCTGCCATTGACTAACCACCAACCAAGGAGTACACATGGAGGGACCCATGGGTCCAGCCACATATATAGCAGAAGATGGCCTTGTTGGGAAATTCGAGGGCAGGAAGACCGAAGTGTGTGAGTGGGTTGGGAAACACCCTCATTGAAGCAGGGGGAGGGTGGATGGGTTTGTGAAAGGGAATAACATTTAAAATGTAAATAAAGAAAATATCCAATAAAATAAAATAAAAAAGAATCACTACCATTTTAGACCATAGTTGTAAAACCTGAATGGGCAATTTTTCTCACTGGTAAAAATTCACTGCACTGGAGTTATATTAGCATATTACACTCTTTTCTCATTGCTACAACAAAATACCCAACAGGAAACAATTGGAGGAAAGAAGGTTTTAGTCTGTCTTATACTTCAAGGAGATACATTCACCCATAGTGGTGAAGGCACTGTGACAGGAGTAGATGGTCATCTGGTCCCATTATATTAGCAGTGAGAATACAGAGTGAGCAGAAAGTGGGGTCAGACTATAAAACCTCAAGGCCTGGACAGGTGTGACAGTATTTGCCATAGAGCTGGATGATTTAAATTTGTTCCCTGGGACTCACGTAATGAAAAGAGAGTGTCAATTCCACATGCTGCTGCTTTCTAAACTTTACACATACACGATACCATGCTCATGCATATTCATATACACACAGAGATAAATAGATGAGAGAGAGAGAGAGAGAGAGAGAGAGAGAGAGAATAGACAGACAAATAGATTAAAATATTTAATATTTCAAAAAGCGACCTGAGATTCAAGTCCTGTCTCCAATGGCTTATGCAATCTTTTAAGCTCTTCTAAATAACATCATCATCTGTCGTCCAAACTTTCAAACACATGCAAATATGGGGGGTATTTTACATTCAATCTATAGCATTCTTACTTTGGTCACCATAGTCACATGGCTATCTCATACTACAAAACGTTTTTGTTTCAACTTTTAAATTCTCCATAGTGCTTAGGAATCCCTCCCTGTTTAAGTGTCCAGAACCAAACTCAGGAAAACTCTTAACTCAGGAAAATCTCTTAACTTTGAGCTCTTGTTTTTGAAAGAAAAATAAGTTACATACTTCCAACATATACAGTAAGCATTCCCGTTGTAAAAATAAGCAAGAGGGTGCATGGCAAGGGAGGATGAGATCAAAGCAACACTGAATCCAGAAGGAAACACCAAATATAGTTCCATGACTGACATCTGTAGCTTATGCTGGAATCATCTGGGCTGCATGGGACTCAGACAGTTCTGCTTATGCAAAACTGCTGTCTGAAGCACAGGAAGTCCCTCCCTCAGCCCATTCCCATTCCATGTATTCATCTTTCCTTTATGACATTCCCTGGTTCTGTCCCCTGAAACATCCCAGAGTCTCCATTTGAACTTAGCTTCCTTTTCACAGCTTTTCACAGAAGCCTCTTGGGGCTGCCTCACCAGGATTCAAACACAGTCATACCCTGCATGATACCATCAGCTCTCTGGAATGGTAGTGTGAGACTCTGACTTTTTCATTCTTGCATGATTTCCTGCCTGCAAAATCAGTATCGCATGGCTAATGCTGCACATCTCTGTAGCCAGCTCAGAATGGTGCCTGGCCCTTTGAACCATAGTTTGTTTAGCTTCTGTGTGTTCACCCTGAGGAATCACTTCCACAGGCAGTTGTTTTAGTGACATTCACAGTGTGGGTTTGCAAATGAATTCTTATTTTCACATTGGAACCTTTGAGAAGAGAGAGCTTGCCCTTAGTTCTTCTTTCCTATGTTCCTAGTAGGAAACCTAAGTTTAACCATTACAGCCTCTTCTACTTCATTACTACCTATTTTATTTTTATCATTTTTTTTACAAATAGCTTACAAAGCAGTAGGTTTCTATGTGGGCCTTTCATACCCACTTCATTTGGCTCCCTCTCCTCCCCTCTACTCCCTCATCTCTTTGAAAACTGTACTCTTTGCTCTTTACACTTTGCCCAGTTCTACTTCTACCTTTTTCCCCTAGAGCCTTTTTCATCTCCAGTCCCATATTTTCTCCCTTCTAGGCACACATACTTAAAACAGATAGAGCCTAGGATCAGCAAGCACTTAAGAGGATATATGGTACTTGTATTTCTGACTGTAAGTTTAAAAAGCCTAAAATGATGCTTTATAGTTCCATTCCATTTTCCTAAGACATCATCAAATAATGTTCTTCCTGACAAAGGAGACAGTATTATGTAGATACACACTTTTGCCAGCATTGATCTCTACTATAATCACAATCAAACTAGTAAATTGTGTGTCATACCAGAGTTCTCAAAATTATAGCATTCATCATCATTTCAATTGGCTAGCAGATACTCCTTGAGGGGAATGATTTTATTCTTCGCTATGTATTGTGTCTTACATGGTTCTCAAAGATTAAAATAGTGAAGGATCAAGACCTGGTATAAACCTACTGAGAAATAATAGAGGTTTAAAGAGATAGAACCTAGTAGAAGGATTTCGTCATTGCCTGAATGTTCCTCAGAGGGACTGGAATCCTGTTTCTTACTTTTTGTTCTTTTCTCCTTTTCCTTTTCTTCTTTCTTTCTTTTCTTTTCTTTTTTTCCCTTCCTGGCCACGAACTGAGTAGCTTTGCATTGCCAGATATTCCCCATAGTGACAGGCTACTACACCACAACCTGAAAAGCACGAAGACAAACAATCATTGACTTGAACCTTCAAAACTTTGAGGAAAACAAAACTAAATAAATCCTTTCCTCAGATGCTGAACAGAACACCAATGGCTTATGGTCTAAGATCAAGAATTGACAAATGGGACCTCATAAAACTGCAAAGCTTCTGTAAAGCAAAGGACACTGTCAATTGGACAAAGTGGCAACCAAGAGATTGGGAAAAGATCTTCAACAATCCTACATCTGATATATAAGGGCTAATATACCATATATACAAAGAACTCAAGAAATTAGACTCTAGACAATCAAATGACACTATTGAAATATGGGGCACAGAGGTGAACAAAGAATTCTCAACTGAGGAAGCTCGAATGGTTGAGAAGCACCTAAAGAAGTGTTCAGCATCCCTAGTCACCAGGGAAATGCAAATGAAAACAACACTGAGATTCCACCCCACATCAGTCAGAATGGCTAAGATCAAAAACACAGGTGACAACAGATGTTGGCGAGGATGTGGAAAAAGAGAAACACTCCTTCATTGTTAGTGGGATTGTAAGCTGGTACAACCACTATGGAAAGCAATTTGGTGGTACCTCAGAAAATTGAACATATTGTTACCTGAGGATCCAGATATACCACTCCTGGGCATATACCCAAAAGATGTTTCAACATACAACAGGGACACATGCTCCACTATGTTCATAGCAGCCTTATTTATAATAGCCAGAAGTTGGAAAGAACCCAGATGTTCTTGAACAGAAGAATGGATACAGAAAATGTGGTACATTTACACAATGGAGTACTACTCAGCTATTAAAAACAATGACTTCATTAAATTCTTAGGCAAATGGATGGAGCCGGAAAATATCATCGTGAGTGAGGTGACCCAATCTCAAAAGAACACACATGGTATGCACTCACTGATAAGTGGATATTAGCCCAAAAGCTCACAATACCTAAGACACAATGCATATGCCACATGAAACTCAAGAAGAAGAAGGAAGAAGACCAAAGTGTGGGTGCTTTGGTCCTTTTTAGAAGGAGTATCAAAAGTTTCAACTGGAGCTCCCAAAGTCTAAACCACCAGCCAGAGAGCACAAAGGGAAGGACTCATGTCTCCACCTATATAGGCAATTGAGGTAGTCTTGTCAGACATCAGTGGAAGTGGAGGGCCATGGTCCCTGAAAGTTTGGATCCCCTAGTGTTGGGAAATTCGAGTGCTTGGAGATGGGACTGGGAGGATGTTCAGAGCACACTCTCATAAAAATAGGAGGAGGGGCTATGGGATAAGGGGTTTTGGGGGGAATGGGTGAGGGAATAACATTGAAAGGTAAATACGTAAAATATCCAATTTAAAAAGAAAAACAGAAAATGGGTCTGGTAAAAAAAGGTAGTTTACTTATTTCAAATTATTTTCAAAAGTTTCTAGGAGATACTAATTGGCTAAGATCTTATTTTAAGCTCTCCATAAAAGAATTTAAATCTCTGTTCAATATTCTCAAGAGAGATATAAATCCTAATTTCCCTCAACAATCAATTAACAAAAGAGGAGTAATCTCACAAAAGTAGAAGAAGCTATTATTAATCGATATATGATACAGTCTGATTAGTTGCTGGCTGTTCTATAACAGTCCTTTGATAAAAGAGATTATTAATACATATTTTATTTTATTTTATTTTTTGTTTTTTTTTTGGTTTTTTTTGTTTTTTTTGTTTTTAATAAAAAAAATTGTATTTACTTAGAAGCATTCAGAATGTCAACAAAACAGCCGCAATTTTTTTTTTTGCAATTACAGAGTGGTATTCAGTTAACAGAACAACAATTATCTTCGTATAAGCTGCATCAGAGACAACTGAAGATGGAAAAAAAAAAACCCCAAAATAAAACCAAAAGAAAAGAAAAACAAAAACCAAGCTACTGTCCCCATATATAACTAATTTGTGCTGTGCACCAACAAGAACGTGCTTTAAATTTCCATGCCAATTTACAACCCCCAGACTGTACCAGGCAAGGTTAGTGGCTATTGAAAATACCACCAGGACAGGGCTATCTAAAGACACATTCGGTAGTGTGTTAACTATACAAAAAAAGACACTGTACAGTTTAAAAACAAATCTTACACAGCCTTACATTTCAATTTTTTTCTTTAAAAGGAGTGAGTTGTGTACAGGGGGGTTAAATGCTTTATAGACAAGAAAAAAACTGCGCTAGAACCAACTTATTCATCATCATCATCTTCTTCTTCATCTTCGTCTTCCTCTTCTTCCTCCTCTTCCTCATCTTCTTCATCTTCCTCATCATCTTCCTCTTCCTTCTTTTTCTTGCTCTTTTCAGCCTTGACTACCCCCTTTTTTGCTGCATCAGGTTTTCCTTTAGCTCTGTAGGCAGCAATATCCTTCTCATACTTCTCCTTCAGCTTGGCAGCCTTCTTCTCGTAGGGCTGCTTGTCATCCGCTGCAGTGTTGTTCCACATCTCTCCTAGCTTCTTTGCAACATCACCAATGGATAAGCCAGGATGTTCGCCTTTGATTTTTGGGCGGTACTCAGAACAGAACAAGAAGAAGGCCGAAGGAGGCCTCTTGGGTGCATTGGGGTCCTTGAACTTCTTTTTGGTCTCCCCTTTGGGAGGGATGTAGGTTTTCATTTCTCTTTCATAACGAGCCTTGTCAGCCTTTGCCATATCTTCAAATTTCCCCTTTTCTTTAGCAGACATAGTCTTCCACCTCTCTGAGCACTTCTTGGAGAACTCTGAGAAGTTGACAGAAGCATCTGGGTGCTTCTTCTTGTGCTCCTCCCGGCAGGTTTGCACAAAGAATGCATATGAGGACATTTTGCCTCTCGGCTTCTTAGGATCTCCTTTGCCCATGTTTAGTTGATTTTCCTCCGCGAGGCACAGAGTCGCCTAGTGCCCGTCCGGCTCTCGCTTGCCCCGGCGCTGTCTCTATGGAGCTCAATGTACTGCAATGGCTGTCCATATTTTATTTTTTTAAATAGTGTCTTCATGACTCTTTGAATGTCGAAGGAGCGGCTGCTGGTGCTTCTACCCTGATTTTACAAGAACTCTGAAAAATTGACTTTACAAACAAAAGAGGAAGAACAGTAACCCCTCAGAAGGAGTCCCCCGAAATACTCTCCATCATGCCTTGTTCACTTTTAACTCTATTGCATTTGCATTATGTTTTTATAAATGTCTTGCTACTATATATTTATTAATTTATTAAAGATTGTAGGAAAACTTGCTTTCCCTACATCTGTATCTAAACAAACAGGGAAAACTATAGAATTAAAATTGTTACCTTCATACTACAACTTTCTAGTAACATATATATAAATTGAGGACAAGGTACACTTCTGAAAAACCATTATATTTTGTATTGTAAAATCCTAATATTAATGTCCCAGGTTATTGTTGTGACTTCTAGGTTTTCAAAAACATATCCTATATCATAGATTTTCTAAAATTTAAAAAATGATAAATTTTGTACTTCAAGTAAAAAGCCAATAATTTTAACTGAACTTTATGTATTTTGTGTATATTGGTGCTTTGTTTGTTTTTATGCACACCATGCCTGGTGCCCATGAAAGCCAGAAGAAGTTGTCAGAGCCCCTGAAAACGAAATTACAGACAATTGTGAGCAACTATACGGGAGATGAAAATCAATCCTGAGTTCTCTGGAAGAGGAGCCAGTGCCTTTAACCTTGGAGACCCTCCATTATGATAACCAATAAGCTTATCTCATAGTGAAGATCTAACAATGATCACCTAGGGTAACATCATTTTAAGTTTACAATAAGTCCATGCATATGATGATTACAATGGATATTGTATTAATTGTTATCAATACAACAATTACGATTAAAAAAATGAGCCTCATAGATTTTACATTTTCATTTGCATTTTCCTCAGGTCCCTTCTACTAGCTGTGTGAATTCAAGTTTCTATGTGTTATTATATTGTTTTTCCTGATATTTAAAATTTTGTTGTAAAGACTCATGGTTATAAATAATACATTTTTTATCTTCTAAAAAATAATTTATCTCTTGTTTTTAAAAGGTTTTTTATTTTACTTGGATTATTTCAGGCTGGTTTTTGTCTTGTTTAGCTTTCCTTTGGGGTCTTAAATATTTTATCTGTTTGAGTTTCTATTACTTATGTGAATTCTTGGGAAGACTGTTATATTTTATGTGTACATGTGTGAATATATATAAACACTCTTAGTATTTTTAATATAATCTTTCTCTTAATCTTTTATCTTTATCCTTAAGTTTGGGCACTTTGAATATTTTTATTTAGGTCATTTATGAGTTGATAACATTTCATCTACTAAATTGAATTTCTTCAATCTATGGCTTCATATCTTTCATCTCTTTTGGAAAATTTTCAGATATGAGCTTGTCATATTTCTCCTCCCTGTTTCTATTTCTTCTTTTGAGATTATTGCACTTAGGCTAGAATGACTGACATTCATCTTGAGATCATTCTTGTGTTCATCTCCTTTCTCTACATCTCACTTTTCCCTTATATTTCTAGCTTGATTAATATTTATTAATTTTCATGTTTAATGACTCCATTTTGTCCAAGCTAGCTTTGTTATCTCAGTTAAGAATTTTGTTTTATAGTCTTTCCATTTTATACTTTAACATTTTCATCATTATGACAAAATTTAAAATTATTATTACATTTTGTTCACTCTTGTTTCTTTTTTTAATTGGATGTTTTATTTACATTTCATATGTTATCCCCTTACCCCATCCCCCACCCACCCAAGAACCCCCTCTCCCCTCACCCCTCTTCCTGTTTCTCTGTCGATGTACCCCAACCTACCCACCCCACTCCCACCTCCCCACCCACAAATTCCCACCCCCTGGGGTGTCCAGCCTTCATGAGACCAAGGATCTCTTCTCCCACCTATGCCCAGCAGGGCCCTCCACTCTTACATATACAGCTGAAGCCATGGATCCCTCCCTATGTACTCCCAGGCTGGTGGTTTAGACTCTAGGAGCTCTGGTTGGTTGGTATTGTTGCTCTCCTCATGGGGCCTCAAAACCTTTCAACTCCTACAGTCTTCACTCTGACTCCTCCACTGGGAACCCTATGATCAGTTCAAAGGTTAGCTGTGAGCATCTGCTTCTGAATATGTCAGACTCTTGCATACCTCTGAGGAGACATCCATATCAGACTCTTATCAGCATGCACTTCCTGACTTCCACATCAGCATCTACCTTTGTTGACTGCACATAGGATGGATACTCAGATGGAATGGTCTTTAGACGGCCCCTCCTTCAGTTTCTGTCCCTTACTTTGTCTCCATATTTGCTCCCTTGAGTATTTTGTTGCTCCTTCTAAGAAGGACCGAATCACCCCCACTTGGTCTTCCTTCTTCATGAGCTTCATGTGGCCTGTGAGTTGAATCTTGGGTATTTCAAGGTTCTGGGCTAATATCCAATAATCAGTGAGTGAATACCATGTGTGTTCTTTTGTGATTGGTTTACCTCACTCAGGATGATATTTTCTAGTTCCATCCATTTACCTAGGAATTTCTCAAATTGATTGTTTTTAATAGCTGAGTAATACTCCATTGTGTAAATGTATCACATTTTTTTTAATCCATTCCTCTGTTGAAGGACATCTGGGTTCTTTCCAGCTTCTGGCTATTATAAATAAGGCTGCTATGAACATAGTTGAGCATGTGTCTTTGTTATATGTTCGAGCATCTTCTGGGTATATGCCTAGGAGTGGTATAACTGTATCCTCAGGTAATGCTATGTCCACTTTTCTGAGGAGCCACTAGACTGATTTCCAAAGTGGTTACACCGTCTTTTGGTCCCACCAACAATGGAGGAGTGTTCCTCTTTCTCCACATCTACTATCACCTGAGTTTTTAATCTTAGCCATTCTGACTGGTGTGAGATGGAATCTCAGGGTTGTTTTGATTTGCATTTCCCTGACGACTAAGGATACTGAACATTTCTTTAGGTGCTTCTCAGCCATAGTTTCTTCCATTGAAAATTCTTTGTTAAGCTCTATACCCCATTTTTTAATAGGGTAATTTGGTTGTCTGGAGTCTAATTTCTTGAATTCTTTGTATATATTGGATATTAGCCCTCTATCAGATGAAGGATTGGTAAAGATCTTTTCCCAATTTGTTGGTTGTCGTTTTGTCCTATTGACAGTGTCCTTTGCCTTACAGAAACTTTGCAATTTTATGAAGTCCCATTTGTCAATTCTTGATCTTAGAGCATATGCCATTGGTGTTCTGTTCAGGAACTTTTCCCCTGTGCCCAAGTATTCGAGGTTCTTCCCCACCTTCTCTTCTATTAATTTCAGTGTATCTGGTTTTATGTGGAGGTCCTTTATCCATTTAGACTTGAATTTTGTACAAGGAGATAAGAATAGATCAATTTGCATTCTTCTACATGTGTCTTCCAGTTGAAACAGCACCATTTGTTGAAAATACTGTCCTTTCTCCACTGGACAGTTTTAGCTCCTTTGTCAAAGATCAAATGACCATAGGTGTGTGGGTTCATTTCTGGGTCTTCAATTATATTCCATTGATCTTCCTACCTGTCTCTGTACCAATACCATGCAGTTTTTATCACTATTGCTCTGTAGTACAGCTTGAGGTCAGGGATGGTGATTCCTCCCGAAGTTCTTTTATTGTTGAGAATAGTTTTTGCTATCCTGGGTTTTTTGTTATTTCAAATGAATTTGAGAATTTCCTTTTGTAACTCTGTGAAGAATTGAGTTGGGATTTTAATGGGAATTGCACTGAATCTGTAGATTGCTTTTGGCAAGATGGCCATTTTTATTATATTAATCCTGCCAATCCATGAGCATGGTAGATCTTTCCATCTTCTGAGATCTTCTTCAATTTCTTTCTTCAGGGATTTGAAGTTCTTGTCATATAGGAATTTCACTTGCTTGGTTAGATTCAAACCATGGAAAACAGTCATAAGCATAAAATAATAGTTTGTTAAATAACAGAGAATATTGAGCCACTGAAGAAATACTTGAGACCATTTCACATATAGGATTGATCATTAGTGTTACTAAGTCAGCATGGGAATCATGAGATCCTCATGTGATGTTTTTAATGGTTATATGAGGTATAATGTTTAAATAAAATATAAATGTCATTACAAATTTTAAATTCTTTATGAATATAATATAGCCTTAAGTTATGTTCTGTCATGAAGAAAGTTTGAAATAATTATTTATTAGCAATAAACCTGTTTTAGTTTAATTGCCATCATTTAATCTAATTTCATATGCTCAGTTTGTGAGTATCAAAGTAAATTACAGGTGAGTTCTTTAGTCAGGTGACATTGTAATTTCAGCCTTTTAGAAGAGCCTTAAGTAATTCAAACAAGTTGAGTTTACAAAATGTGGATAATCTCTTTGTTAAAATAACCAAATTTTCAGTTCTAAGATTACAACTGTTCCCACTGTTCCATATTTTCATTCTGACATTAACCCAATTTGTAAGAACACAAGGAAATACTACTTTGAAGAAGTTAATTATTGTTTTTTAAAATATTTTATTACATTTAATTATGTATTATTATATATATGCATGTGTATATTGACATGGTAGAGAGAGGACAACAACGTTTTCAGTAAATATCTGTGTTGTGTTTTCTATGACCACCATTGCACTGATTACACAAAGAAACAAGCTTGGAGACTAAGTAGTCCCAAAGTATCAAAAAAGTATTAAATATAAACTCCTAAGGATTGACTTGGAAGACCTTTAAAAAGAAAGACAATCAAAAGTTGTAATATAAATATAGGCCAATTCAATTTTTATTTCATGTTCTATTAATCAAAAATAACACCAAAAAATCCAATTGACAGAGCTCTAAATG